CATACATATATTGCTTTTTTCTTATCTACTTTTGCACCTCTGTGGCCCTGCTGCCCAATTTCACTGTGCAAGAAACTACACAGTGACAATGAAAAGTTCTAAGTTCATTAGAGCCTCTTACTTTGTCTTTTGTTTCGGTTTCTGGGAATGCATGGAATTACCAAAATTGGAGAGGGGATAGCCTAAAATGTGAAGCAGGAAAAGACTGCCATGTAATCCATTTATTTCAACAAAGTAACTGTCTCCTAATTATCACCTATTTAAATGGTAACTGTAAAGGAATACAGTTACTTATATTTTGTATTTTAAATACGTAACACCGGTACGCGTATTCTATTACCCCCAACACTGTTTATGCTTATGTCATTTTTCATGTTGGCTACAGGATTATTGTAAATTCAACACCACCAAACTGCTGTTGATATTAGCACATAAAACAACAGAGAGCCTGTATCTGCTTACACCAAATGCATATTGGTTTTTCCATTGTTTTAGAAATAGTAATACACCGATTCAACAATTATTTAGGGGAATTTATCTATTTATAATTGTATGTGTGATGATTTCAGTAGCAGCTAATATGAAACATAAATGTACTTCTGAAGGGCACCTACTCATCTGAGCTACCTTGGATCTCACTGAAGAACTGGCACATACACAGTTTCCATGTTATATATCCAGTGATTTATGCAGTTTCAAAATTTGCTTCCAAAGTAAAGTATTATTTATTAGTCCTAAATATACTAATGAAAAACCTCATAAATAATTAGAATAAATAATTTTGGCGTGTATGTTAAGAATTTTTTGATTAATTCAATCAACTCTAACAATAAAAATACAAGATGCTATCAACACATATCAATATTAATATTAATATCCAGAAACTAAATAAATAAATGCCAGTGCCATCTCTTCAAAAACACAACAGTGATATGTTTTAAACTTTACATTTTCTTGCATTTCTTGTTCATACATAAAATATATAAACATGATAGTTTGGATGATTTCATGTTGTCATATGAAAAGTGTTTTAAGTAACTGCAGCCAAAAAATAACAGCAATGTTGTACTAGGCATTTACTTTTAATGCAAGGATTGATTGTGGCCTGGAAAAGAACCTTTTCAGGTGTTTTGAAATTTTTTTCATTTTGAGTCCATAGATGAATGGGTTAAAAATAGGATGATACAGAACTACTTGTAATGTCATTACTATCCGTACAGTTTTTGGAAAATTTGTTTCCACCCGAGCTATGCTTACATCATACACAAAAAACACAGAGGCACTGATTAAAACTAAAAGATGGGGTAAACAAGTCTCTGCAGCTTTCTTCTGAATTTCTTTACATCTTTGATAAGAGACTATAAATATTTTTGTATAAGTGAAAACTATGAAGAGCATAGGAAGTACTGCAAGATCTAGTAAAGCAACCACACCAAAGATGGTAATTAATCTTGATCTTTCACACAGAAGAGTGTAAACTGCATTGTTACAAAATATTCCCTTTATATTAAAGTCACACAGTTTAATGTTAGCACTCCCTATTGCTTGGACTGCAATATGACAAGCAGGTACAAGCCAAGCTATGATCAGAAAAATACTCACAGTGGTTTTTCTCATGATAATATGATATTGCAGAGGTTTACATATTGCCACATATCTGTCATAGGCCATGGCAGCCAAGACAAAGAACTCTGAACCACCTAGAGTGTAAAACATAAAAAACTGAAAGAGACAGGCTGAATATGTTGTGACTTGTTTATCAGATAAAAAGTCAATCAGGAGTTTTGGGTAAATAGTTGTACTGTAAAGAACAGAGTTCAGTAATAAAGCTGCAATGAAAATGTACATAGGCTCATGAAGGTTTTTATGAATGCAGATTATGTACATAATAGTAGAATTAGTGCAGATTATTAGACTATATAATGCAAACATAATAAAAAAGAAAATATATCTGTACTTGTTAATGTCCACATACCAGTCCAGAGTTACATATGTAAAATTTAACTCTTGATCCATTATTGTCTTCAAAAACTATTTAATAAAAAAAATAAACTGAATAACCAGACTACATAAAACAATTTAAAAAACCAAACCAAACTAAACAAAATTACAGTAACATAAACCCTGTGTTGTGTGTCCTGTTCATAAAGATATCTGAACTTGAATTATATCTTTATCATTCATGAACCACATATACATAATGAATCATGTGAGTCTTGAGAAGGTTTTTATCAGGTTGATTCATTCTCCAGAGAAGAGGAGGTCTAAAATGGCATTGCTCAGCCTCTTATAGTTGACTGTACACGGTGTGTACAATTAATGTGTCCAGCCAATGAGTTCACTGTGGGCATTTAGGATTATCTGCTCTACCTTGTGTTTTATTTCAGTGCTGTACTGACCACACATACCTTGGAAATGCATCAGCTACTTTTATGTTTTTTGTCACAGTGAAGAGTTCCATACTCAGCACTTTTGCTTGTACTGGCTGCATCTGACTCTGGTCCACAAATGTCCAATGTGTGTTGCTTTTACACAGGTAAACCCACATTTTGTTAAGTTAATGGCCAGTCAGTCTACAAAGAGATGTTCAATAAAAGAATGATTGTGCAAGTACATTGTCCACCTAAACAGCATGACGTTCCAGATCACTAACTACAATTTTCAAAATCTTTTACAAAGTTTTGAATTTACTGTGGAGGACTATTCTCTTGCGTGCCTAAGTTACTGATCAATGCAATTAGTCCACTATTAGTCTTGTACATTGCCAAGCATTCCAGTATCCAGTATGTTTGGGAAATTGAGCCATAGGCTTTCTTGTAGCCTGTCTCTGCTTTGCTGGAGTTTCTCTTCACCCTAGCAGAACGAGCTGTGAACCATTATTTGGTGGTTTCAAGAGACTCAGTTATGAACATCTTGTTGTACCTCTTTTTGATCCCGGATCTGTCTCTCATGACCTGCTTTCTGCACCTGAGTTAACTAGTGAACATCCATCTAAGATTCCCTGATTTTAGCTTACAGCCTTCTTCTCCATGGGGGGCTTACTCTACGTGCATGCTTGACCCGAGTGCTTCTAGGATTACTGTGAAAGTGACGAATATGAGCTCATTGGTTTAGTGACACTGGCAGTAGAGATGATACATAGAGCACTTTTCACATCTGCAAAGGTGGGAAAATAACATCTTGGTTGATCGTTATCTTGAGTCTAGGCACAGTCTTCATCCTCAGCTCAGAAAGTGCACTTGCTATTATAGGTCACTAGGCGTAATCTAGTTCAGTTTCACTGCTCTTTTCTGCCAGGGTTGGCTCATTGTTTAAAATGCTGCTTACTACTGTTCCCATTGCACTCTAGCCTGTGGAGCTCCAGCTTTTATAATAGCTGCCTTCACTCTCCCTATCTTTTCCAGCTCTGCCTTTAGTATTTCTCAAGCTTTAGTCTTCCTTTTTCCTGATGTTGATATCACTTGGTATAGCTACATCTGTCACTATAGGCTTTTTACTTTGCCTTTCAACCCTCCGGTCATGTTCACCTCCTGCCCCTTACTTTAGTGTTCCCGGTCAAAACCGACTGGTCCGTTTTAGCTGCTCTTAAATTAACACAAAAAACATTTTTAACCACCAAATTCAGTTCAGTGGGTCGCTCACTGGGTTGTTCAGTGGGTTCTTTAGTAGTCGTTCAGTGGTTGTTCAGTGGGTAATTCAGTGGGTTGTTCAGTGGGTTGTTCAGTGGGTCTTTCATTTGGTTGTTCGGTGGGTCACTCAGTGGGTCGTTCAGTCAGTGAGTGAGTGAATGCATGCATTCCCATTCATATTCTATGGTGGTCACGTTTGACTGGGAACACCACAGGTGTAACAAGGTTGAATAAAACACTCAAAATTCAGTGAAAGAGGTATTCATCACTTTTATATGTTCAAGTGCATAGTGTGGAGGATATCATAAAGCTTTGAGACAATAAGGCCTTGAGACAATATTTATGAGTGTGTTAAGTCTTAAATCGGTCAGGTTTGACCCGAACACGACGAGAAGATTACTATGTCCGTTGGTTAAAAGCCAATAGTTTGTCTGTTTCTATTTGCAGTTCCTTCAGGATCTTAGCTTGGACATTCTCAATAACCTCTGGGGATGTACAGCGTGGGCCATTTATATGGATACACCGTAATAACATGGGTTATATGGTTGGTGATATTAAAGTTCTGTTTGTGGCACATTAGTATATGTGAGGGGGCAAACTCCTCAAGATGGATGGTGACGATGGTGGCCGTTTAGAAGCCGGCCATCTTGAATACAACTTTTGTTTTTTTTCAATAGGAAGAGGGCCATGTGACACATCAAACTTATTGGTAATGTCACAAGAAAAACAACGGTGTGCTTGGTTTCAACGTAACTTTATTCTTTCATGAGTTATTTACAAGTTTCTGACCACTTCTAAAATGTGTTCAATGTGCTGCCTATTGTGTTGGATTGTCAATGCAAACCTCTTCTCCCACTCTTCACACACTGATAGCAACACCGCAGGAGAAATGCCAGCACAGGCATCCAGTATCCGTAGTTTCAGGTGCTGCACATTTCGTATCTTCACACCATAGACAATTGCCTTCAGATGACCCCAAAGACAAAAGTCTAAGGGGGTCAGATCGGGAGACCTTGGGGGCCATTCAACTGGCCTACGACGACCAATCCACTTTCCAGGAAACTGTTCATCTAGGAATGCTCGGACCTGGCACCCATAATGTGGTGGTGCGCCATCTTGCTGGAAAAACTAAGGGAACGTGCCAGCTTCAGTGCATAAAGAGGGAAACACATCATCATGTAGCAATTTCAAATATCCAGTGGCCTTGAGGTTACCATTGATGAAGAATGGACCCACTATCGTTGTATTCCATATACCACACCAAACCATCTCTTTTGTTGGTCCAACAGTCTTGCAGGGATCCATCCAATGTGGGTTAGTGTCAGACCAATAGCGGTGGTTTTGTTTGTTAACTTCACCATTCACTTAAAAGTTTGCCTCATCACTGAACAAACTCTTCTGCGTGAACTGAGGTTCCTGTTCCAATTTTTGCTTTGCCCATTCTGCAAATTCTGTGCGCCGATCTGGGTCATCCTCGTTGAGATGCTGCAGTAGCTGGAGTTTGTAAGGGTGCCATTTGTGAGTAGCTAATATCCACCGAAGGGATGTTCGACTAATGCCACTCTCCAGTGACATGCGGCGAGTGCTACGCTGTGGGCTCTTGCTAAATGAAGCTAGGACAGCCACTGATGAAATGGCCACCATGGTCACCACCCACCTTGCCGAGTTTGCCCCCTCACATATACTAATGTGCCACAAACAGGACTTTAATATCACCAACCATTCCCATGTTATTATGGTGTATCCATATAAATGGCCCACCCTGTACAATGCCAAATCCAATGAAGTTGGGATGTTGTGTAAAACTTAAATAAAAACAGAATATAATGATTTGCAAATCCTTTTCAACCTCGAGTATATTCAGATGAATACACTACAAAGACTAATTATCTGATGTTCAACCTGATACACTTTATTGTTGTTTTGAAAATCTTCACTCATTTTGAATTTGATGCCTTCAACACATTCCAAAAAAGCTGCGACAGGGGCATGTTTACCACTGTATTATGTTACCTTTCCTTTTAACAACACCAATAAGTGTTTGGGAACAGAGGACACTAATTGTTGAAGCTGCATAGGTGGAATTTTCCCCATTCTTGCTTGATGTACAATTTCAGTTGCTCAACAGTCCGGGTCTCAGTTATCGTATTGTAACACATGCAGAATGTCCTTCTGAAGTAAGCAAGGACGTCCCTGAAATAGACCTTACTTGGATGGGAGCATATGTTGCCCCAAAACCTGTATGTACCTTTCAGCATTAATGGTGCCTTCACAAATGTGCAAGTTACCTATGCCATGGGCAAAAACACACCCCATACCATCACAGATGCTGGCTTTTGAACTTTGCACCGATAACAATCCGGGTGGTTATTTTCCTCCTTGCCCTGGAGGACACAACATCCATGATTTCCAAAAACAATTTGAAATGGTTTTTCTGAAAGTATTCCTGAGCCCACGCGGACTTTTAATGCGGTGCTGCCTTAGAGATCGAAGGTTGTTTTATACCCAGTCATGAAAAACACCTGTTTCCAATTAACCTGTTCACCTGTGGAATGTTCAAAACAGGTATTTCTTGAATATTCCTCAACTTTCCCAGTCTAATGTTGCCCCTGTTCCAGCTTTTTGGGAATGTGTTCCTGGCATCAAGTTCGAAATGAGTGACGATGTCACGAACCTGGGTTGTTTGACTCAGCGCTCTGAATTTGGATATTTTATTTATTATGTTTAAGTTCAGCTCATTCCTATTTTCCCTAGGTTGCTGTTTTAGTTCTGCTTCTTATATCCCTTTGTGTAATCACCCCCTGTGTTTTAGTCTTCCTCGTCATGTTAAGTCTGATTGTCTTAATCTGTCATTGCAGTGAGGCGTGGTTAGTGGTGCCATCCGGATACACCTGCACAGCATCCGTCATCATGCCGGCCATGTTAAAACTTGGGGAATTAGGGGTTGGGCAGAGTGGCAACCAGTTGTGTATTGTGGTGTGATGTATATGCAAATGCCAGCCAAGAGCGTGGTCCACACTGCTGCCGCTAACCCCACAGGTGGAACCTGGTGGTGGGGAAGCGGTGGAGGAGCCGTGTGGGGCACTTCGGCAGCCAGAGGTGGTGGATGAGGCGCATGGGGGTGCACGCTAGCCAGAGGAGGGGGAACAGCCGGCTGAAGGGCTACTTCTGTCGGGAGCAGTGGAGTGGTGGAGGAGAAGCGCCAACCAGAAGTGAACGAGGGACAAGAGGGCCCGTGCCTGTTGGAGGGGGATGAGCTGCCGTATGAAAGGCTGCTCCAGCCGGGAGCAGTGGAGGAACCGTGTGGGGAGACAGAGGTCCCTGTGCCAGGGGAGCCTGCTCGACCTGGGTCCAAGGTCAAGGCGCGAGCTGCTCCAGAGCGACGGA